CGCGTTGTCGGTTTCTAGGGAGTAGTCCGTCCATCCTAATACTAATATTCCATAGAGGTTAAATCGGTTTACGGTCTAGCGGTTAGGATTTGGAATAGAGAATAAATCGGGAAGACCGTGGAAAAATGACTCTCAAATTTACTATTTATAGCTTAGGGTTTACCCCCCCACCTCACGCCTACCGTGTAATCTGTCTCCAATATTACGGTGGATAGTTTGAATCCTGCATGAACCTAGGTACCACATACCTTGGGACTTATGGTACTATGGTATATTAGGATCATGCAGTATTTTAGCATCAACAATATCACCTCCATGTACTCCAAGCTTCCATTTATTTTTTCATGTTCTTGTCCCTTTCATTCTCCATTACTGCAGGAATCTCAATATCAACATGCATAAAATAATGAGGTTAATTATGTAGGATTTTGAAGCAGGTTCCGGACTTTGAGCCTTGGATTTCCAAGCTATAGCATTTAGGGTTTATAAAGGTTTCGGGTTAAACGCTTCTTAACCTCAAATTCCTACAGTTCAGTAGCTATGACCCCCTTATAATATCTAGGCAGAAACTACGGAAAATGTAGGTAAAGTCCCCCTTGAATATGGCTTTGGGTATACTAGAATAAGATCCTCATATACTCCATATTCTATCTACTTAAAGGGAACTATAACTGGAAACAAGCGCAAACCTTACAAAGCCTAGATCGGAGCCTTAGCGGCCGTAAACCGTAAACCCGGAACCCGGAGCTCAAGGGTATTCAAGTGAAGCTCGCGGAGGAGGCTCTAAACCCTAAGCCTTAAACCCAAAACTATGAGCACTAAACCCTAAACCAAAACTCTGAACTCTAAACCCTAAACCCCACTGAAAGAGTCGAACCGCCTCACCGTCGTCGGCAGCGGCGCCAGGATTGGCAGCCAGGTAGGCGCGGAAAAGTAGACTGCGGCGTCGCTGCCCGGGCTTCCTAAGGCTTGACTTCGGGGATAAGAAGCTAGGGTTAATTGGGACCCCAATATAGACCCCAAAAAGGCATAATCCTTTTAATGGGAAGCCCCAAAATGATTCCTTAATTTTGGGTTCAGAATTAAGGGATTAGGGTTTAGGGTTTACGGTTTGGGGTTTTCAGTTAAGGGCTGAGAGGGTTAGCCATGAAAGGTAAGAGTTTAGGGTTACACAGAAGCTCTTAAATCCTGGAAAGCAGTGCAGGCAGCGCAGAGACTGAATTTGGGAGTTGTCAGACCCTTGGGGTAACTTGTGGTAGAATTAGGGTTTAGGGGTTTAGAGGCTTGGGGTTTTGGGTATATTGGGACCTCGAAGTTAAGGTTTTGGACCCCAGACAAACTTAACTGGCGAAATGAGTGAGAAAGAGAGGCTGAGAGGGAGAGAGAGAGAGAGAGAGAGAGCAAGAGATAGACATATGAGTATCTGTACATATGAGACATAGTCACAGTCTGAACTCCTAGTGTCCCCCTCAAGAACCCCTACAGTCATCCCCTTCAGAATGCACTATATAACGCCCTTCAAGGAGTTTAGAGTATGGCTCATGTAGATAAAAAGAGAGAGGGGAGAGGAAGACATCGGAGGACTGTTGACTGCGCAACTGCAAGGTGTAGGTGCATGCATGGTGCAGGGTTTGAGGCATAAAGTTAGGGCTTGGGAGTTAAGGGATTATAGGGTTTAGAGGCATAGGTGCTTACGGTTGGGGGGTTCAGGGTTTAGTGTTGGGTTGCCGTATGCTCTTGGAATCCACATTTGAGAAGTGATGGGCTGCAATGTAGGAACCCAAACAATTCCCAATGTAACTTTGAGATCTATTTCTGATACCCTGGCCCTAAACCCTAAACCCAAAACCCTACCACAACTTTATAGGAACCTGAGACGCAGAACGGTTTCCACTCCATCTTCCATGTTCATTTGATTCTCCATCATGGGGGTCAAAGCTGGAACTCTGTAGACAACCCGGCTGTAGAAAACCCGGATGCGTCCGGGCGAAACGCCTAGGACCAACCCTCTGTATATGTATATATATGTATATATCACCTTATGTATCCCTATATACCCAAATACCCCCTGTAAAGAAAACCGAAACCCTAAACCCTAAAGAACAGCTTCTACAGTAGTTAGTGTTGGGAAAAGTTGGAGTGTTTGGGTGCGGCGCAAGAATTGACGCGACGTTCATGGTTTGGGGTGTAAGGTTTAGGCTTCCTTGTCACGGTTTAGGGTTTAGGGTCTAGGGCTTAGAGTCTNNGGGTTCAGGGTTTAAGGCTTATGGGTCGGCGCTTTATAATCCCAAGCTCTGGAGTTGGGGTGCAATGTACTCTAAATCAGTAAGCCTATTCAGGGAGTAGGAATACCAAAAACCCTTAGCATCAAAGCCTGGCTGCATGCGATTCCAGAGGTGCACACGCGCGAGATACCTGCCAAGGGCTACGCACACACTTCCCGCCTTTAACTTGGGTATACCGCCCCCCCCCCCCCCCCC